GGCTAATCTCTAGCGTCCTATCACGAGGCGGCCGGCCGACCGCGTGCCCTGCCGTGCCGTGCATGGTCCAAGGTTTCTTGTATTGCGTCGCCCCCAGGCGATCCTGCTCCCCGGCCGGCCGGCCCAGGCCCAGCCCCAGTCACTCAGGACCACTGGCCGGCCGGACAGACTGGCTGGGGCGTGAGCGAGCGTAGGCCGTACACACCAGAACGCCTCGCCACGCCTTCCAAGAAAGACCTTCCCCTCCTGACTGACTTTGTGACTACTCTGCAGAGACTTGCAGAGAAAATTGACAGCTATGGTGTCACGCCAACGTCTACACTTGCAGGCATCGTTTACGTTCCTGTTTCAAAATCGTTCTTTGCAACAGCATATTGCGAATACTTAACAACAGCAACAGTACTCCTTTGTTCCCTATCTGCATAAAAGAAATTCCTGTCGCTAATACGGCCCGTTTCCTTTCCCCTTGCAGGTGAAGATCTGGTTCCAAAATCGGCGGAGTAAATACAAGAAGATGATGAAGGCTGCGCAGCAGGCCGGCGGTGGCCACAACAACAACAACAGCAGCGGGGGCGGCGGGCTGCAGCCTGGCTCGGCCCTGCCCGGCCCCCACAGTCCTCAGCCCCCTCACATGGGAGGTGAGTCGAGTAAGTTATCGCCAATTTTTATTTTCACACTCTTTAATCTACTGTAGTTTGTAGCACAATTTCAAAAATAAAAAGAATGGAGAAAAAGTACGATAAGAAAATAGAAATTTCTAAGTCAAGTAAATCCGAGCACGTATGGATTTAAATGGCATTTTCCACTCTAATGTCCAGCTTCTACATTAGACATATGGGTTCAACTCTAAAAAAAAAAAAACAAAAAAAAAAACAACAACTGGGGAACTTTTTTTTCTTTCTTTTATGAGCCGACTTATTGATATTTATTGGTGCAGGCCAAGGGGGGCAGTTCGTCGACCCGGTTGCAAAAAGTAGCTGTATGTGCCTGCCTTTATTGAAGACAGAAAGATAGAGGGGGGTAGAAAAAGGGGGAAGGGGAAGGGGGAACGTTAGCAGCCAAGACGGACGGCGTCACGGTGGCGTCCAACAATTGGCACGTCGTCTTCGTGTGGCGAATTTTACCATACTCAACATCGAGGGCACAGGTGACGCGCGCGCGATTCGCCATTGTAGGGAGTTGGGTACCGTGCAAAAAATAGTTATAATGAAATAAAAAAACATAAAAGGCAGTGTGTCCTCTTTGTCATTGTGGCCGTGCCTCCTCACCTTGTTATTGTACTGCCTGCTGTCATTACAAATAATAAGTGAGGAACGATAACAAGGAGAACGCGAAAGCGACGCGGTTCAAAAAGCCTGAGGCATAGCGCCCGCACTCGCCTCTGCATATTTTGTTGTTGCTTTTTTCTTGATTTTGGTACATCCCCGTTTCCCTCCATTTTAAATTCATCTTTATCATCTTTCAATCATGGTGCGTGTTTTCAATTCTTTTTTTCATCGACAATGTTGCTCATGACTGTGCTCTTGTTCGTGTTCTGCAGGTGGCGGCTCCTCGTCCGGCTCCCAGCCCAGCCCCTCGGGCAACTACATGCCCCACCAGACTCCCACCCCGAGCTCGACGCCCGTGAGCGACATGTCTCCGGGGCCGCATGGACTCTCCCAGAGCCCGCCCGTGGCGCCCATGGTGGGCAGCTGGGACGTGAAGCCCCCCATGCCCCACCACCCCCAGAGCCACCACCCACCCCACCATCCGCCTCACCCCGGGTACATGCCTCAGTACTCGTGGTACCAAGCGGAGCCCAACCCCGGGCTGCTCACGTAAGTGCCATAATGTTACGTTTTACTCAGATTATACTACTTTTCCACGCGTTTTGTTTTTTTAATCCCCGTGCCGGGGCTCGCAGTCAGGTGGAAAGGCAGTTCCTGTTTTGTGGTTTTGCTACAGTGCGCTTGTTGTTGTTGTTGCAGAGTTTGGCCATAACGCTGACCCTGGGGCCTAGCGACGAGTGCCAGCGAGCGGCGGCGATACTTGGCACATGGCGCGCTCTAGCGGGCGCGGCAGGCGCGTAACGACTGCGGCTCCTTCCGGTTCCTGGATACAAGAGAGGAAGAACGAAAAATTTGTTGCACGTGACTGAATGGAACTGAGCCGGCACCTAAAATAATAAAATTATTAAACTATATTTCACAAGGCGGAGTACTACTTAATAAGCCGTTGGAAGTAGAAAGCGAAAATGGACCGCGGTGAGAATCTTTTGTGATCCTTGTTTAAGCCAATCAGATCATGGTCTACTTCCCGCTGCCTCTCTCACCCACTTTACTACTGCCGAGTGCAATTGTTCACTGTTCACTTTCGAACAATTAATTGCCACCTCAAATCCTCTTTTGATACTGATTTAGTCTAATGTAAGCCGTGTCTTGGAGATTGTCTGATTGTGGCGTGTTTTGCTCTTTATGTTTGCATGGATTGACAAGTACTTACAATCATGTCGATATTTACGCTTTGCCTTTTGGTCAAAGATCGCCGACCCTCGC